AGGAAGTAAGACGCGGCACCGATGAATTTCTCGCGGAAGGGATCCTCAATCGCGAGGGTCGGCTTAAATAACACCTTGGACTTGCCGTAACTGTAGAGCTTGCTGATTGCATCCACTGCGAGCTGCTCATAGTCCCCTCCCTGCGAGTACGCGGCTGAGATGCTCAGGATCGCATCCTTCCATTCTTCTTGAGCTGCCGCAACACGATCTTCGCAGCTAGGCGCGTCGTAACTCCTCTTGAAGTTGCCGCGGCCACGCCACCAACGAGGCTTTACGGGCCAAGGTTTCATCGGCCAAGCACCTGTTTTGCCTGCATCTCCTTTCTGCAATTCCTGGATCAAGAAGGGGGCAGGGGTCGGCACACCAGGAGAGCCCCTGATTCCAGGGGCTGGGGGGGCAGGGGTCGAAGTGGGAGTTGGATCTGGCAGTGGAGCTGGCAGTGAAGAGTGGTGGGCGATGATCTTCAACTCACCTTCCCACATCTTCTTGTACGCAAAGGTGTACTCCACGCCTGTCTCCACCCCGGATGTTGCATTCTTGAAATAGTAGTACCCCTGGGCAAGCGCAACATCCCCCACGCAGCTGATCTGGTCATTGAAAAACAAAACCTTTGACCAAGTATCACCACCTGCAATGGCAAAGCCTTTATCTTCCGGGATGCCGCCACCGCCGTTGAACGCCTGCATGGCGTCATCTCCAACGAAGTACGACAATGCACCATCGAAAGTGGGGCGGAAGGGCTCCTCTTCGGCCAGGGTCGGCTTGAAGACCACCGGCCCAATGTCATAGCCGTAGAGCTTCTCGATCGCATCAGTCGCCACGGCCACAAAGTCTCCACTGGAAGAATTCTCGAGGTATGCCGCAGAGATGTCGAGGATGGCTCCCCTCCAGTCCTGCTGCGCTGCACGAACGTCATCTTCGCAGTTCCACTTGGAGTAGCCCTGCTTTCGCCACCTCCACCCGTCAGCTTCCAGCTCAGTGTGATCTTCCGAGGACTTCATGCGCTGCAACAGCGCAGTCTCCTCCTGCGAATCGCAGTCGATGCACTCGGCTCCTACAAGGCCAAGGCTTACTAGCCCAGTCAGAAGCACCGAGCAGTTGATCATCGCAAGGATGGGATGTCCGTAGCGGGAACCCTAATCGAAGGCAGGCGCCTCTGGCTTCGGGACTGTCCGAACTTGAGCAGAGTGGCCAAGGGGTAGAACAGACTTGATCAGTACAGGATTTCTGCCGATGCAAACATGTTGCGTTCAGAGCAGCCGGTGCTTGCAGAGCCTTGCGGGTGCGAACACCGACATGCTGGCATGACAAGTCTAGTACTGTGCATGCTCGTTCAGGATGCGCCGCGGTAAGACAGCAAGCCCGCATGCCCATGCGCTTGCATCAATGTTTTTGCTGCTACTTCTGCCACCTCTCCGTGCTCTGATCGGGAGCAAAACAGCAGTAATTGCTGCGTAGTAAAGGGCCAGTCGTGGCTGGATACGAGCAATCAGCTGAGACAGCCACATTTGGCAAAATTGCGGCTTTGCCGCAGATTGGGGGTGGGCATGGGTGGGCTCTTCCGCTGTGCTGAAATACCGCTGCGTGGGGCAGAAACTTCGTTAAAACAAACGTTGTAGTGATATCCACAAGAGTGAGTGCTGAAACCTATGAGAAAGATGTTGCGCAAGGGAGTGCTTAAGGGCTCGCCCACCGCACAACGAATCCGCACGGCTAAGAGCACCAAAGGAAACAAGTACACTAAGTACGCACCCATGTGGATGAGACCACACATTGCCAAATAACGCAGACATAGGTTTTAGGGCCTTTAGGGCGGAGCTTGCGTTCATCGACCATAAGATGCCGGCAAGGAGGAGTGGTGGGCAATGATCTTCAACTGTCCGGTCTTCTTCATCTTCTCGTAGGCAAAGGTATACTCGACCCCGGTTTCGTTCCCGGTGACTCCGTCGGTAAAGTAGTAGTAGCCCTGGGCTAGTGCGACGTCCCCCACGCAAATGGTCTGATTATTCGCAAACTCAACCGCCGACCAAGTCTTTCCGCCATTGATAGCAAAGCCTTTGTCTTCAGGGAAGCCTCCTTGCTCCTCCGTGGCGTTGTAGCCG